CGTCGTGACCAGGTATGGGGCAGCCGCTCCCGGAGCCGGGGACATGCGGCACGTGCAGACCAGGAGATGTGCCTGGCCAGGCTATGCTCTCATAACCCCCGCCAGTGGGGTACCTGGGTTCCTCTGGACTGGGGGTGTTCAGAGCTCATGCTGCAGTGCAGACCAAGAGCCAACATGGTCCCAAGCTGCCTCACCCAAACCAGACCAAACAAGTCCATGATTTGGGCTCAAAGCCACCTTCCTTCTCCTCCCAACAACTGCAAATCTCGAATTCAAATGGGGACCCAGCCGGGAGTAAGTTCAAAGGCAGATTTTCTGTGCTGTTTTCCTGATAACACAAGGATGATATCCTGCCCTGAGTTACTGCTGTGCCCCCATCCTGCAGGAAAAAAATCCTATCTCCAAGCAGGTTGATGCTCCACCACTACTGAGGTCTAACTCCCCTTTGAAAACCGACAGATCTGATAGAAGACATGAAAGAAAGCGCCAGACTCCTGGCAGGCAGCTGCTGGCTCAGTGAACACACAGGCAGCCAGGAGGGGAAAAACCGGAATCTGCTCCAGCGCATCACTTGCGCCCAGGCAGCTCCTGCTCTGCAGGCTGGCCCGTGCCCCTCGCCTCTCACCCACCGCCTGGGCAGTCCCCTCGCGGCAGCCAAGGTGTCAGGGCAGACGTCTCCAATGCTCTGAGCTCTGGCAGCGCCCGCGAGCTGCTGCGGAGAGGAAAGGAGAAGGAATCCCACCCGGTGCCCTGGGACAGTTTGCGGATGGCGGCGGGAGGAAGCCAGACTGCCAGAGCCTCTCCGGCCACCCCAAGAGCGGCAGGGCCTCGGCCCCCTTTCTGCTGACTGCATTTCCTACTGGGTTACACACAGTATTGCTTCCTCTTCAGCCACCTCCAGCATCCACAGAGGAAGAAGGATTTCTCGCCCTGTGTTGCTGATTGCAGAGGGCATGTCCTCTACAGAGGCCAGACCTGTGCAGGAAACAGCAGCCCCGGCCAGGCGGGGAGAGCTCCCTTCTGCCCCGCACCGAAGGGCGGGAGGTCACTGGAAGCGGTGCCTCCGCCTGGCAGCACCCCTGCAGCCCCTGGGGCGCAGCAAGCCGGGCAGGTCCACCAGCATTTCCAGCCTTCTCCTTTCCCTGCAGACAGAAGAGCTGCCCGGCTGTCCAGCGTGCAGGTATCCTCCACAGGGACACAGCGAAGCAGGCACCATGGGCCCCCCTAAGACTTGACCCAAAATGACACAGGGCAGCTTTCTACAAATATCAGAGCTTAGTCAAGTATTCTCCCTGCTCCAAATTCCTCTGGTTCCTCCTGGCGTGCAATGCATCTCCAAAGGCACCACTTGATGCCCACTCCCACTTTTCACCCTATCACAATTTGCATGCCAGAAAATTTCACAGAAAAGACCTTTTCACCAAAAAAAAAAAAAGAGCTCGGCAGTGACGATCAGATATTTCCATGCTGTACTCCAAGCAGTGGCTTAGCCAGCACAGGGCTCTCTGCCCACAGCTCGGGGCTTTGTCCCTCACTCCGAAGTGTGGGGCAGGGGGCCGGGCTGGCACACGGTGCCGGGAAAGCATGACACTGGTACGCTCTGCGGTGGAGCAATCACCCACAAGGAAACCAGGAATTTAATTTCCCCCAAACATTTTGTTCTACTGACTGTTTTACAAGGTATATAAACCTCCTTCTCCCACTGAATGCAAAAAGCCCATCATTAATTGTGGGAGATCCCTGGAGAATGCCTGGATGCAAACACCATCTCCCTTCAGCTTCGCCATGCAACCTCTCTCGCCATTGGGGTGCCTGCTTTCCACCAACATCTTTTGTTGTACAGTGATTTCAGCTGCTAACGAACACTGGGACCGGCCCCATCACCCGCTGCCGAGGCAGAAACCAGCTTGTACTTGAAATCCCCTTGGCTGACCTGGCCACCTTGCTGCACACCAGCTCAGGTTCACCTGAACCTTCCCGATCCCTCTAGGAACTCATTTACCTTAGAGAAAGTCGCGTTAGCCAGTGAGATCATAATGTCCCGAGATACTCCTGTGGGCATTGGGTCCAAAGAGGCAGGTACAATTCGTGGGCAGTCAATTTTCTTCTGTTAGGTACAAAGCAAGAGAAAAAAAAAAGAGGTTAGCTGGTTGCATGCTGAGCGCCCTCAGTGACGAGGCAGGAAGACCCATCAGGGCCCTTGATAAGATTAGTTTCACTACATCTGTAAAGTCAGATCACTCTGTAACCCCAGGAAGTGAAATATCAAAACGGCACCATGATAACACAGAGTGGTAATGCCACGTGGAGCCCTCCTCCCCTGAGAAAGGCTGTAAGTCCAGCCCAGCATGTCTCTGCCTTAAAATCCCATCCTCTGTGAGCTGTCAGATAACCACAGCACGGAGGCCGAGTTTCCAGGAGGGCTGGTCCACAGCCACAGTCCAGCACAGGGAGGAGCACCCTCTCGCTCCTCCCCGGCTCCTCTGCCAGCTCAGCGGCAGCAGCAGCTCCCAGTCCCTGGGTGGAAAAAAGGTACTCCCAGGTAAAAAGCAAATGCGTACACACTCCTCAGCGGCCACTCTGGGCAGCTCCCTCACTATGTGCACTCAGATGTCAGAAGACGGGGCCAGAGTGACACTAAAAGGAGGCACTGCAGCCTACAATGGCCAACCTGCCGGCGTGACCCCTCCTGCCAGCTGGAAGCCAACGTCTCACACATCTCAACGCGCGCTTCTGCAAGCCCCTGCAGAGATTTCGCTCTCCAGCGGCGTCCCTCCTGCGCAGTGTCATTTCAGAAGCGTGCGGGGGTTTGTGTGTGTGCACGCGTGTGCGCGCAGAGGAAAGGGTATAACGAGCTACAGGGGCTTCAGCAAGGGGACTGCAGCAGTAGGACAGCTGAAATGAAAGGCCTAAATGAAGCTGTAAAACGATTTTAAAAGGTCATCTGTCCCCCTACTTTTGTTCTCACTTTAAATTGATGGCTCAGATACTGGAGCTGACTCAGAATTCAAGTCTGTATGACAAGCCCATCCTGTTCTCTCATGAGATGTAAATCACACTGCAAAACTACCACAAAAATGAAGCCAGATTCTCTGTTGCCCCAGGGTATACCCAGATTAATGCCTTTGACAGTGGAGCCATTGGGGTAAAAGACAACAAAATATTTGGTCCATTATGCAGAATAATTTGCAGCATGCAAGATTTCCTTCTTGCTTGCATTAAAGGTTACCGCCATTGTGACTTTGCTGATGACAGTGCTGCTGCTGCTGTGACGAGAGGTAGAGCCTGCCCTCCCAGTGTAGAGATGCCTGGCAGGACACATCCCTGGTGCCGGACACAAAGTGAGCATGAGGTTTCTCTTTTGCCTTCCCCAGACCTAGCTAGGGGGCAGGGAACTATCTGGAAGTGCCTGCCTGACTGTGGAAAACATGCTTCATTTCTATCAGGATACTCATCTTACCCAAGCACAGTTATTGCGCCTAAACAAGAAGATTAAATAACAGAGATGCACACGACAAGAGAAGCAAAACAACAAGGCAAAGCCCTGGAGAGAGATTTCAGTCCTATGCCTCTTCCAGGAGAATCAAAAGAGTTAAAATAAAACCAGCAGGGCTACAACTGAAAATTCATGCAAAAGCTCCTATGGCCTGGTGCGTCCTTGCATGTCACAGCAGCTGGCATAGCTTGCTAGAGAAACACACTTTAGAGGACTGATTAACTTGTCGTCTTGCAGCCCCTTCTCCTGCTGTTCATCAGTGGCTAGAAATAGAGCTTTCCAGCTGATGATATCATTCATGTCTGGATCAGGGCAAAGGGTCTGCATGTTTAAAATGCTGCGGATGATGCCAGTACAATGCTGGCTTCCCGGCGGACCAGTTTTCAGGTGCGGCCATGCCAGCAACGGCTTGTTTACTGAAAGCTCAGGCTGTAGGACGAGGCACCATGTTTCCAGGGCTACAGAGCACCTCATCCTGCACTGCTCAGGAGGGAAGAGCTAAGAAAGGCACACAGATAAAACAGGGATGTGCCCAAACCAGGTGCAGCATCCAACCGAACTGTACCTCTGGAGTAGATCAGAGGTGAGAAAGCGAGGATAGGCACAGTTATCCTTAAGGAAGGACAGGCACAGTTATTCCCGGAAGGTTCCCTGGCTCTCACCATCTGCTCGAAGTGATGGGAGCGGTGTGGCAAGACTGGCTGCAGCCCTCCCTAACATGTAGGCGAGGCTCCTCGAGACCCATCTCCATGACCCTAATCTCCTCCCTCCGGGCGGAGGAGCAGCTATTCCCCGTGATGATACACAAGCACCCCATGCCACGCTGTCCCACACAGTCCCCATGGCCAGGGAGGCAGATCCAACGCTGGGCTGCCGAGGTCCAGCCGTCCCAGCACCTGTGTGCCCCACCTGCACACCAGCACTGGTGCTCAGGAGCAGAACACCTCTGCTGGGTCTGATTTCGGCCGGGCTGGCTCCTCCAGCGCATGGCTGCACAAGTGCTGGGTGCCGGCAGATGCGCAGGAGCAAGCTCAGATGGGGCAGGGACACCCTGCCAGCTCGGAGGGACCAGGTGGCTGTGGTCACTCCACCCCCTGGCTCGGGGTGGTTCCCCTTTTCAGGGCCA